AAAATCAAGGAATAATTTTTAAAGAATCGTTTTTACTACAATAATGTTATTTCAGTAGAATGAATAGATAGATTTTTTTTATTTAATTATTAATATCTATTTTAATTTCTTGGTAAGCGTTTTTTTTCTTTTTTCCTTGATTTCTATTGCAGATCTACATTTCAATCATTGGAACAGATTTTGCTATTATAAGCACGACTGTGTTTCTATCAAGTCATCCTGAATTACCTTATGGCTACTGCTGCGTTAATAAATACCATTATTTCATTCGTCATCAAATTAAGCAAACATATTTATAACACTAAACAAGTAGAAATACAAAAAAAAAAGTTCATTCTATCCAAATTTAAATACGTTCTTCTCTTTTCCCATTCAGCATATTTTCGTTGATTTACTACTAATTTTCAAGTGTATATTTACATTTCTAAATGCTGCATTTTGCTTCCCCCGTCGTCTATCGTGCCATGGTCAAGAACAATTATTTTGCAATATTTTATGCGATTTCCATAAGATTCATTAATATTCTTGACGATTTTTAAAAAGTAAGAAGAATGAACAATTCAAGGCAAAGAAAACCATCCTAATTTAGAAGCACAAAGTAATTAATTGTATGATTCTGTTTTTCTTCATAACATACAAGACTATTGCACATAATTGAAGCAGAAATTAAAACAGCCATTGTATTAAACAATTCCTTCTATGTGCATTGTCCATTCAGCCATGTTCGCGATTATTGTTCTCCGTCATTTTCGTAGCTTTAAAGAAAATTTTATCTTTTTGTTATCTCTACTAAACCAGGTTTCGATATCAATTTAAACTAGTTCGTAATGCCTTGTTTTCTGCCGTCCCTCTTATCTTCAATCTGTCCCGTGAGTATCATATTTTCCAAGCCCTCTTACCTCATTATTTTGTTTCCATTTTAGCTTACTTTTTCTTTCTCATACGCACGGTCCATCGTATTCTCAGCATCCTCTTCTAGAACCATATTTATGTTGCCAAACGTTCCTTCTTCATATGTGCAAAATTAAACAAGAACATCCTTAAAGTGTCACTTGTTACAAGAGCGTAACGATTCTAAACATACTGGCCACAGTGGATTAAAAGAGTGGGTTGGAAATAAGAGCCAGTCAGTCAATGAATCGATTGACTAATTGTGTCCATGCTTATCAGTCTAATCATTTGTACAAATTGATTTGATCTGATTTGTTTTTTAAGGGCATATCAACATCTTATGGAATTTAATGCTGAAATTTAATTTTCTTGGGAGCTTTGAAGTAATACAAATATGTTATTCTGCTTTCACAGTTGAATACATGGTAGATGATTCTCAGCATTTAAGGATATACATGTTTGTGCAAACATAATTACTAGAGGTAGTAATATGTGTGATTCATGTAGTATCGTTGAAGTTATATTTTGGAATACATTTGGATTTCAAGAAACTTTAGGATATTATATGGATTGATGTCATGAAAGAAGTTTTTCATGTTGGTTGATGTATTATTGGTCATATTTATATATATAAAATGTATTGTTGGTGTTTTTACTATAAAAGTGTATTTTTATATTTTCATAATGTTTTCTGTTTTGTTTAGGATAAATCCATGTATACTTAATTGTTGTTTTGGGAAGAATAGCAAATAAGAGGTGTTTCCTCTCTCTTCAAAACCCCCAACCTCCCGGTCAGAGGTCTTACTGCCGGATGTAGTTTATCGTCATACCTAGGACTAGTACAAATTGAAGAAGATACGCCATCGTGTGTAAAATAAATGCCAGCAAAAGAATATTCAAATATAATCTTTTATAATTTGATGTAAACTTTTTGGTTGGAATGTTTGGTCATACTTTTTATTTAATATAGCAAAACGAAACGTATATATGGCTTAACTTTGATGTAAGCATATTATGTGGAATTAAATAATGTAATAAACTACTATTGCGTAGTGTATGGAATACTTATTTTTCTTGGGATATATTGAAAATTTATAGGGTAAATGGAAATGACAAAATGAAAAAAAATAACTTCTTTTGTGAAGAGTTTTGTTCGATAACGCATTTCATCATACTAATTATCAATACTAATAACCTATGCTTGTTATTAGTCTGAAGAACTTCGTTCGAGGAACGAAACGCGTCACTAAGAAATTTTCCAGATTTACATGCGCGCGCACGGAGATAGTGTCATGTTTTCAACATATTACTATGAAGGATCATTACATATTTACCAAGAATGCACGTCATCAAAGCAAATGTAGAACAACAGAACTAAAGTTCTACCCTGCACAAAGCTTAATACCATATCACGTTGAAACATCGGTTCTCGAATGGTAAGCGAAGTTAAGCAACGTCGATACTTGTCAGTACCTAGATGGATGACCGCTTGGGAATACCAGGTACTTTAAGCTGGGATATGCGGTTGGTATAATAGATAACGGCTCGTAATTGAAAATCGGAGAGTCGGATTACAATTTCAATCTCGTAATGTTCACTAGCGTGCAAGTACCCTTAGAAAACTTTTGAATCCAGGAATTCTCCCCCAAGTATGAGGAGTATTAGTAGAACTTGTTTGAGTAAATCATAATTATCTGTAAAAAAAAAAATCATAGAATCTAAAATATTTTCTGGCTTTAAATAAAGTCTGCAAAAGATTGATAATCCGTAAAAACAGCAATCAACCAATCAAATACAAGCTACACAAAGAGCAAAAAGATCAATCATATGCTTGTATCATATGCTTGAAGATCAAACATATGCTTGAATTGAAATAAAAAACTAAAGAAATCGAAACTGAGCTGTATTGGTGAAAGAATATGTGTGATACATGTTGAATAATTACAGGTGCTGATGCTAATGTACATGAAATAGCATATCTGCACTCCGCTGCGAATCCTAGAGTAACCACTAGTTATCTACAGAGAAGGTGATGCGGAAATATTTCTCAGAACATCCATAAAGAAATTAAAAATGAAATGCTGATATTTGATTAATTGATCAGTTTTTGGAATTGTATCGGTCGAGAATATTTCAGCATCCCTTCTTATACAGAAATCGATTTCTTGAACAAATATGTCCTAGAAGGATATTGTATAATAAAGATTTGCTATTCCGACATCACCTACACAACGGTTTGTTATTCAACTTATACTGGAAAGTAATATTTTGTTTGGGACATTTGACTCTAAAAGATATATTAATAAGAGGTTCAAGGAAATATTTAAAAATGCCTGTTGCAATTTTCAGAATACAGTAGAAGTCTTCATATCCGGAATCTCCCATATCCGGAGTGCCTCATATCCGGAATCCCTCATATCCGGAGTGCCTCATATCCGGAATCCCTCATATCCGGAGTGCCTCATATCCGGAATCCCGCATATCCGGGCATGATTTTGAAGTGTAAATTTGAAATATTTGGGTGATATGTAACTGATTTGAAATTTCTGTTTTTTGGGGGAAATTTACTTTGGATAATTGATTTTGCTTATTTCATCCCATTGGCTTGTATTGGTGCAAAAGACGATGGGAATAAAAGGAAAAGAACAACTTTGGAGTTATCGCAAAAAGTGGAAATTTTAAACAGGCTAGATGCTGGTGAAACTTCATTGTAACTAATGCCTGATTTCAACATACGAATGTCAACATTGTATAATATAAAATCTTCTCAAAGAGACTAGAATCTAACGTTCACATTGCCCCAATGAACAAGGAAATAAAAGTGTGATGAAACCTGAACTGAAATTGAAAAAGCTATTGAAAAGGTTGTCAGTTTTATGGAAAGAAAGCCAGCATTCAGCTATGACGATTGCGATAACGCACGCAGAGTTAAAAAGAGTTTTTCGTTTAAAAATTTTTTAAGAACAAAAGCAAAACGAAATGCTGAAAAAGTTGAGAATGACATTAGAAGAGAAAGTATCATCATGCAACAGCGATTAAAAAAATTCCACATTACATTATTTGTTTTGCATACGTAACAAATTTAATGAATTTTCATTAACATAATTTATTTTCTTTTCCTTAAAATCAATTATATATTTCACTCACCATAAGCAATTTCTTTTTACTATAAAATATTGAAAACAAATGTTAAACCTGATTTCAGTTATTTTATTTTAATCTAAATATAACCCCTCATATCCGGACTTTGTAACCAATTCCTCATATCAGGAAGGCCGCCTTAGTCCGGTTGTCAGGGATTCTACTGTAACATTTTTATGAATAAGATATTAACTGTTTTCTCTTTTCTTATTTTTCCAGGAGTGAATTATTTCTCCATCCAAAGGATGACAGGGAATAAGATGTAGGATGCAGCGGATTTACACAGAAGTCAGTTATAAGCATCTCATGAATGAAAAGAGATATTTCCGGATTCATAATTTATACTTCCGGGTTCATAATTTATACTTCCGGATTCATAATTTATACTTCACGGAACAGCTTTTCTAAGAAAACTGCACCGTATAACGTGCATTACATCATCGTATCGCGAATTTCTTAAAAAATATCATTCGGTTTTTCTCATTTATAAAAAAATGGTATTATAGATTATTAATGTTGAAAATAATTTCCCCCACAAAAAAATGTTGAAAGAGAAATATCTAACGCAAGAGAAAAAATAAGGAAGCAAATATCAATTAAATATTCAGAGGAAATATTTGAAAATATATCCGAAAAAAAGGTATAAACGAACACTGATTTTTTCGAGAAAGAAAAGTGCACCATATTAAACGAATATATACATATATACATATATATATATACATATATACGAATATTTTTCCTCATATTATTTGCGTTAATTTAATTGAATGAAAACATTCTGAGATATTTTGAAGCCGGAAGTATATTTACTTTGCTGCATAAAGTAGCAAGTTTAAAATTGTCTCTTTGAAAACAAGATTTTTTCCGACTTCTTAACCTGCAGGCAACAAACGAAAATGGAGTCTAAAACAAATGAAACCTATGCTCTATTTACTGAGGTGTACGTATTCAATGAAACTACACTTATGGGCAACGAGACTGGTGTCCAACGAGAACATTTCTCCGGGAGAACAGCGATGGCTATTCTTAATATTATCCTAGTGATTAGCAACAGTCTCATCTGCGCCACAGGTCTTTTCGGCAACTGTTTGGTCATCTACGTCGTCACGATGTTTTCCAAAATGAAAACCGTGACCAACACCTACATCCTCAACTTGGCAATTGCAGATGTGCTGTTTTTAATTAGCATTCCTTTTCTTATCACCACATCTCTTTACGGATCCTGGATGTTCGGATTTTTCATGTGTAAGCTTTATTTCTTGCTAGTGTCCATTAATAGTTTCACGGGAGTCTTTACATTAACTGTCATGAGCGCTGACCGTTACTTGGCCGTATGCCACCCCTTGAAATCTATGGCCATGCGCACACCAAAAGTGGCATTATTAATCATCATATGCATATGGATAACGTCTATACTCATCATGTTGCCTGTTCTCATGTATACAACTACTGTTCCAAGTCAGAGAGACCCTCGCTTAGAAACCTGTGCAATGGCGTGGCCGGAAGACCAGCCTCTTTCTCCAGATAAAGCATTCATTTGGTATAATTTCTTATTTTCTTACGCCATTCCTTGCAGTCTGATTTCATTTTTTTATATTGGTGTTGTGATGCGACTTCGTGCTTCGGGGCCAGTGAAGAAATCACTAGAGAAAAAGAAATCGCAGAAAAGGGTCACAAGAATGGTTCTCAGCATAATAATGGTATACATCATTTGCTGGCTTCCCTACTGGGTTTTCCAGTTAGATCTAGCCGTCCGTGTACAAAAACCGCCCACGTTATGGCGCATAGTAATGTTCCAGGCATTCAATCTGATGACATACGCCAACAGCATGCTCAATCCACTTTTGTATAATTTCCTCAGCGATAATTTCCGAAAGAGTTTTGCCAAGGCATTTAAATGCGTTGACCGTTTCGAAGCGAACCGTTCACTAAGAGCCGAGAATAGCATCTACCCGAAAGGCAAGGAGGGTTACTCACAAACAACGACTGTTGACAAACACGAGCTGACCAATTACACCAATTGCGTGATGAACAAACAGATTGATGACGAAGGAATCAATATTGAAACACAAACAGAAAATATTCTCCCGACGACATCGGAGTTAAATGAAGAAGCCGACAATTAA